GGTTTCATTTCAGCTACTTTATTAAGTGTGTAGTAGTTGTTAGGCATGTTCTCAATTCACATTTCCCTAATGACTAGTGGGTGTCAGGCATTAGCTCATAGGAATATTTGTTGCTCAAATAGTCTTTGGCAAAATGTTTTCTCAAGCATATTGCCCAGTTTTTAATTAAGTTGCTTGTTTTTGTTTTTATTACTGTATGCCAAGAATTCTTTATACATTTTGTATATGAGTTCTCCATCCCATACATGATTTGCAAATATCTCCTGCCAGTCTTTGACTTCTCCTTTCATTTTCTAAAAAGTTTCTTTGGATAAAAAAAAAAAAATCCATAATGAGTCCTCACATTATACAAGATGTAACTATAAAAATTATTTATACATCTGTACCATGAAAATGTGGATACCAAACTTAGAAGTAAACATTATATACAACTGCTTAGTCCAGATACAGATAGAATAAAACACATAGAGAATTCATGGGTCCCAAACTCCAAAATACAGATGAAAAAAAATTGCAGGACCGAAACAAAAGGAAAGCTAAAACATGATCATAGATTTTAACACTCAACATAATTACACAGTAAAGGTGTCAGTTCTCCCCAGAGGGACATCTAGAGCTAACCAAATTCCTATCACAAATCTCAGGGAGCCTTATGGTAAGTATACATAAGACTGCTCTAAAAACATTTATCAAAATACAGAGCAAATAGAAAAGATTTAAAATAGATTTAAAAATCATGAAAAAATAAGATTAAATGGGAGAAAAATCGGTTTATTCTACTTTAAGATCTATTAGCCAATTGCAGTAATTAAGATTATTTGACATGTGAAGGGAAATCTATGCAGAAATCAATGAAGGGTAACAGAGAGCTCGCAAATAAACCCAACTAGCTTCTACTCCAAAAGCAATTCAGTGCCAAACTTTCCAAGAAACACAGTGCTGAAGCAAACGGATATTCACAGGCAAAATAATTCATAGTGACCTAAACTGAACACCTTTTACAAAACCTAGCTTAAATGAAGCAAGAGATTTAGTGTATAACAAAGTTATAACACTTTTTTGAAAGAAAACAATATATAAAAAAGTATTTGGGACCTAGATATAGGCAAAGAGTTCTTAGAAGCCAAACACACAGCTTTTACTTTAAAAAGGAATTGATGTTAGATTGCCCCAAGATCAAAACTTGTTGCTCTGAAATCCCCCAGTGAGAGTATGAAAAGACAAGATACAGACTGGGAGAAATACCCAGTGAGGTGTTAGTCCATAGAGCAGGTAAAGAATTCCTAAAGGACAAGAGCAGGAAAACCAAAAATGCACTTAAAATAGAGGCAGAATATGTGGGAAGAAAGATTTCAGTGGAGGGGGGAGGGATGCACAATCAATCAACACGGATGTGAGGAGACATTGAGGACCACTGGACGTAATGTGAACGGAGGCCATGTTGAGAAATCACGGCACACCTGTGAAAGGTGCAATGAAACCAGGGTCAGCCCAGCGCCGTGAACACTTGGACAAGCAGGCTTTCCCAACCACCGGCCTCCCTGGAAACTCAAACCACACACGATGTGCTAGCAAGTCACAGGCCACGAAGCTCAGCTATGTAGCTTACTCATGTCAAGGAATATGTCCATATTGTGAGGGTTGTTTGGGCACGAATCTTTACACTATTTCCCTATAATCTAGAGTGAGGTAGTCTCTCCCGTTGCTGACGTCAGTTGTTGATGTCCTTTTTCCCTCCGATCGGACTTGTGAGGGGATTGTTAGTTTTATTTATATGCTTAAAGAATCCGTTTTTAGCTTCATAGGTTTTCTGTACAGTTTGTTTCTTTTCCTCGATTCCCACTTTATCTTCTACCTAAAGTTTCCCTGGCTCTTCCTTTCCACATATAAACAGGTTGAAGCAAGCTCACTGGCTTCAGGTCACCTTCCGGTCCCATTACAGCCTTGGAGATGCTCCATTGCTCACAACACTTGCTAATGTCTGTTTCCATGCCTTCCTTGTTCCTTGTTCCTTGATCTTTCATTACATACTACTCCTGGGCATCAGCCTATCACTTGTGGAGAAAAGAATATTAAAATCTGACTGTAATTCTGGCTATGTCTATGTTTCTTTGGTCACTCTCATAGTTTACAGGTTGCTTGGTTTGTTTTTTTCCTTATTAAACCTTCTTATTTTATTTGAAGATCAGGGACACACACGGACAGGGACAGAAGCACTCCCATTTGGTGATTCTTTTCCCTAAATATCTGCAGCGGTCACTTCTTGGAGCGCTTTACTTGGCCTTCAGACCAGGCTACTTTCCTAGTTACAGTAACTCCAGTCAGTTTCATTGTCACATCAGATTTCTCCTGGCGGCAGCCCCTACAATCTCAGCCCTGTGACTCACTTCCAGTCTCAGCCCAGGGTGTGGGTGTTGATTGGCGCTAACCCCCTGAGCAACCTGCAGCTCTGAGCCACAGTAGTTGGGTCAGGATCAAATTAGACACAAGTCTGCCAGGGTTTCCGAGGGAGGCCCTTGTCGCCATCACTTCCGACTGGAGCAGAGTTTGAGAAAGAAGAGGGGCAGCAAGAAGCAGAGAGGCAGGAGGCATGTCTGTCTTCACTTCCAGACAGCTTACAGACTTTGCAGATGGCAGCCAACAAACGCTCCCTCTGACCTACTGTTTTGGCTCAAACCAATTTAGCCTTTTTATTTCTTGCAACCTAGCTAACATAGGAACAGACCAAATAACCTCTATATCTTACTGTAAACAACACAAATATGACAGTGCTTTAAAAATTCTCAGGAAAAGTAGTATACAAAGATAAGTTAAACTGCATTGCAACATGATTTTGAAATGTTTTGTTTCATAACATGCATTTCTAAGAACTTTTTGAAGGTGTCTTGCAAGTATATAACTACATAGAGAAAGTTCTGGAAAGATACATTTGAATGTGGTAGAGTGATTATCTCTTTACATAGAGACATTTGTTAAGAAAGCTGACTGGAGTGGTGACTTGCGTGGTGTGTAAAGCGGCTGCCTGTGATGTTGGCATCCTATATGAGTGCCAGTTGGGGTCCCGGCTGCTCCAGTTCTACCCCAGCTCCCTGCTAATGCTCCTGGGAAAGCAGCAGAAGATGGCCCAGTGCTTAGGCTCCTGATGTCCATGGGAGATCAGGAGGAAGTTCCTGGCTTGAGCCTGACCCGGCCCTGCCTTTTGTGGCCATCTGAGGAACGTACCAGCAGATGGCAGATCCCAACCTCTGTGTTTCAAGCGTGTAAATATCCCTGCCCTGCAAGGCAGGTAACCAGGGAGGGACTTGTGTGCTCTCTTGGCGACTGCTGCTCTCACAAGGCTGCGCCGTCATGTAACCGAGGAGAAACGTCCTATTCTCTCCTCTGAGCTGAGTTCTAAGTGTCTCAGGGGTTGCTAAGGTCTTTGAAAATGGGGCATCTGGAGGCAACTGGAGAAACAGTCTGAGGCTTATTACCATGCAATAGCAGACATTTCAAAGGTGACTTATCACACTTGCAGGGGTGGGAAATGTCCCCTCATCCTGCGACCACCGCCACCGCCGCACGCAGGCATTTCATTCAGTTGACAGCTGGTTAACATTTCAGGCGATCATTCTGTGGGCTCCACCAGCTTCCACCCGTGCCCATCAGCTCTGAGGAGGCCCACCCGAGACCCCCGGGGCATGTTCCCCGAAAGCCGAGGGGCTGGGGGACTCGGCCCCGCTGCTGCCATTTCCCCATCACCTGCAGCTGGGGGCCACTGGGGAGACCCAGCACGGCACGGCTTTCCGGAGGTGACACGACCTGTCATGCAGCAAGGGCGCCCTAGGCACCGGGGGCACTGGGGGCACTGCCCTGCCCAGGGCCAAAACACGCTGCCTGCACGGGACGAACCAGCCAAGGGCGCCCAAGGCACCGGGGGTACTGGGGGCACTGCCCTGCCCGAGGGCAACACGCTGCCTGCAGGGCGAGCCAGCCAAGGGCGCCCAAGGCACCGGGGGCACCGGGGGCACTGGGGGCACTGCCCTGCCCGAGGGCAACACACTGCCTGCAGGGCGAGCCAGCCAAGGGCGCCCAAGGCACCGGGGCCACTGGGGGCACTGCCCTACTTGGGGGAGAACACACAGCCTGCACGGGACGAGCCAGCCAAGGGCGCCCAAGGCACTGGGGGCACCGGGGGCATTGCCCTGCCCGGGGCCAACACGCTGCCTGCGGGGCGAGCGGGCTGCCCCAGCAGAGGGCGCAGGGTGCCCGCGGCCAGCGCTGCCCCGGGCCGGGCAGTCAGGACCCCTGGGGCTCCTCGGCCAGCCCACCCCAAGGCTGCGAAGTGAGCAGCGCGACGCACAGCGCACTCGACCGGGGCTTCTCCGGTCGGTTCTTACTTTGTTGACTGACAAGGCCCCGTCCTGGACGCTGTCCGGAGCAAACCTGAGGCAGCAGAGTCGGCGCGGAACCACGATCGTCCAGGAAACGTGTCAGTGCAGAAGGGGAGAAGCCCCGACCTCGCGGCTGCCGGCAGGGGTCTGAGGAGACGGACCCTCGCCGGGAGGCGGGATTCCCGCTACCCCGGGGACACCGCGGCCCTGCTGCTGGCCGCTGACTGGAGGCGCCGCGGGCCGCGTCGGGCCGGTGTCCGTGCCCACGCCGGGGGTTCGGCGCCCTCAGGCCGCGCCGGGGCTCCCGCCTCACCCGCGGCCGCCCTCGGCCCGTCGGCCCCTCAGCCCGTCGGCCCCTCAGCCCCTCAGCCCCTCAGCCGGCCGCGGCAGCCACGCCCCCGAGCACGCCCCACCCACGGAGGGCGGGCACCCGTGGCGGCCACGCCCCCGAGGGGCGGAGCGCCCGGGCCGCACGTGACCGCGGCCCGCCCCCGCCGCTCCGCAGCGCCAGCTCGGCAGAGCGTGGACGCCGCCGCCGCTGCCGCCGCCGGCTGCAAGTTGGTCCCCGGGGCGCGGCGGGCCAGGCACTCGGGGAGCGGGCGCGGCGGCGGCCCCGGCGCGTGCCCCATGTCCCGCGCGGCGAGCGAGAATGTGGAGTACACGCTGCGCAGCCTGAGCAGCCTGATGGGCGAGCGGCGCCGGCGGCAGCCCGAGCCCGGCGCCGCGAGCCCGGCCGGCGAGCGCAGCCTCCTGGCGGCCGCCGAGTCGAGCGCCAGCCTGCAGAGCGCGGGCACCGGCAGCACGGGCACCGGCAGCACGGGCGCGGCGGAGCTGGAGCGCGCGGCGCGGCGCCAGTTCCAGCAGGGCGAGACCCCCGCCTTCGTGTACGTGGTGGCCGCCTTCTCGGCGCTCGGCGGCTTCCTGTTCGGCTACGACACGGGCGTGGTGTCCGGGGCCATGCTGCTGCTCAAGCGGCGGCTGCGCCTGGACGCGCTGTGGCAGGAGCTGCTGGTGTCCAGCACGGTCGGGGCGGCCGCCGTCGCGGCGCTGGCCGGCGGGGCGCTCAACGGCGCCTGCGGACGCCGCGCCGCCATCCTGCTGGCCAGCGCGCTCTTCGCCGCGGGCTCGGCCGTGCTGGCCGCCGCCGCCAACAAGGAGACGCTGCTGGCCGGCCGCCTGGTCGTGGGCTTCGGCATCGGTGAGTGACGCGCGCCGCCCGGGCCCCGTGCGCCCTGCCCGCCCGCGGGGTCCCCGGCCGGACCCGCCGCGGCCGCGCCCCACAGTTGGGGGGTGCAGAGGGACTTCGCGGCCCTGGGGAGTTGCCGAGGGTTCCTCTGCGTTCCTGTCCTCGCCTGGCTCCCCGTCCTGGGCTGGAGCCATGGGCGCTGGGTGCTACACCGGGTGGCAACTTTGCTCTCTGCCCGGAGAACTCCCGGCTTCCTCCTTTGGACCGCCCGCCCCCGGTTCTGCTCTGCGTTCGATGCTTTCCGGGCGGGAAGCCGCTTTAGCCTGGAGAGAGAGCTGGCCTTTCGCTTCCCTTGGTGCCTTCGGGAGCAGCTCCCACCGTGGACGGGTGTGTGCGTGTCACTTGCCCGAAATGAAGGGGTTTACCTGCGTGGCCTTGGCCCCAGACCCAGCGCAGGGCCCGCTGGCGAGGACTCGGCCCACGGAAGATGGCTGGAATGGTGTTATTAGAAAGCAGGGTCGCGGCTGAACCGTGCTGATTTTTCCCAGAGACACGCCGCTGACGCGTCCCGGATGTCTAGACGTGCACTGTTTGGTGGCCCGGAGTTGGGTGCTGCGCACCGGGCCGCTCTGCGCGGGGTCCGGGAGAGGCTTGGCGCCGTTTCCCTGCGGTTTCCTAGGGGCAGCGCTTGCCACAGGTGAGAACCCCCGCGCTCCCCTCAGGTGAGAACCCCCGCGCTCCCCGCACAGCTCCTTCTGGGCGCCGGGCTCACAGCTGAGTTTGCTTGAGTTGTTCTGCGGTGGGAATGAGGCGCTCCACGGAATGTGAGGTCGGTGCCCACGCTCCAGAAGCAGTCAGGAAGTCAAGCTAAACTTAACCTGGCAACCGCCTGCATGCCAGGGCTCTGGTGTAGGTACCCCGCCTTGAGCTAGGCCAGCTGGTCGCCCTGCCCTGAGCCAGCCAATGGACCCGGATTCCTAGCCTTTTCTGGGATAACAGGTTCACTTGTGTAGATTCGGATGTAGGAATAACAATTGAGTAAACTCGGCTTTTGCTGGTGATTTCGTAATTGATGATGCTCTCTGGAGGTCTCTAAAAGAAGCATTCTAGCAGCGGGAAAAGATTGGAGAAGGGCTGCATGTCGGTGCGTGGCCCCTTCCAGGTGGGAGAGGGCGTGCGATGGTGGGGTTTGAGGAGGGAGTCGGTGAGGACGCTGGTGTGTGCAGAGGCAGCGGGATCATCCCAGCAGAGGTGGGGTGTTCACCTTGGCCGGAGATGGGGCGTGGACACGCCGGTGGTTGACTTGGAGAGATGAGGAAGGGAAGGAATGCAAGCCAGGGATGAAAGCAGAAAGGGACGCGTAGAATGTCTGGAGGAGGGGCAGGCGTGGGGGTGGCTTAGGCTATCTGGAGTTGGGGGCAGGCGTGGGGGTGGCTTAGGCTATCTGGAGTTGGGGCAGGCGTGGGGGTGGCTTAGGAGTGTTGGGGGGGGTGGAACCACAGCCTAGATCGGAAGCAGGAAGGAACAGTGGCAGGGTGGTGGGCCCCCTCTGTGGGCTCTGGGCTCAGTGGTTTGACATGATGCTTGGTTTGCACTGCCCTCACTGGGCCCTGGGTGGCCCATCTCGCCTCTCCTGGGAGAAGCACACTGGAAAGAGAAGTTGGGGTCCAGTTTCCCGGCAGCTGGCCTTGCTGTAAGGCGTTGGGAGCAGCGTAGGAAGCGGAGTATCTGGCGTTCCAGCCATGATAGCCAGATGCAGAATGGGAGGCAAGTATTCCAAATGGCTACTGTGGCTGCTGTGCCAGTGCCCACTCCACAGCACCGAGATGCCCTTAAAATGAGGTGCCCCTCTCTTCTCTCCATGACTTTGCTGGGAGAACTCTCTTCCCCAGGGAGAAAATAGGAAAATGGGGCCCATGAGGTTACAGGTTTTTGTTTTCTGATGTAGTCCTGGTGCATTATCAGAATATGTGATAGGTTGTCTGAAAGTTTTGGTTGTAATGGTTTAGTGAAATTACCCAATTACCTCTTCAGCATGGCTAACTAAGCTTCTGGGATAAGATAAAAACCCCACCCTGGGGCTTTCCTTGTCTAACGGGGCAGAAAGACTCAGAGCGGTTGACATGGGGTGGAGGTTGCACTCCAGTGCCCGGGGAGGACAGTGAGCAGGTGGGGGAGTCGACGGGACCCCGGGTGAAGGAGGACTTCACAGGGCCGGTATTGAAGCTGAGGTTGAGTTCATTGATGTTTGAGGCGTGGCGTGCGTGTGTGTGTTGCCCTGAAGTTGGGAGTGGAAGAGTGAGTGAATACATTTTCATTGATGTTGGGGTGTGTGTGTGTGCAGTGGGCACTGAGTGGGGCTGCTGTGGCCTTTCCCTGGCTGGAGAGACCATTGAGAGTGGTTAATGTCATTAATACAATGTCAGGGCTTTGGCCAAAGGCTCTTTGGCCAGTTTGGGAAATTAAGGTGCCGTTGTCACAGGGGTAAGGCATTGGAAATTCAGGGAGAGCAGGGGGTGGGGGTGAGTGAGAGCTGAGAAGACTGTGTGCCAGGGGCTTGGCTGAGCACGGCTTGGTCGGTCTGGTGTGTTCCGGGACAGCGTGTGTGTGTGTTGGGGGGGGGGGGTTGTTTCTGTTTTTCTTAAGAGGTACAGAAGCAAAAGTGGATAGCCTGACAGAGGTGTAGGTGACTTGCGTGTAGAGCCCCCAGGCTGCTCCTTAGCAGGGAGCTGGAGCGAGGCGTGGGGCTGGCACACAGGCCCAGGCACTGTAAGGATGGCACGTCTTCACCACCACCCTGTTGGTGGCTTTTAAGGTTCTGCGGCAACAAAGTCTGATGCTTGGCTACTGTTACTGAGTCATTATTTTAGGTGTTTTCTTTTGCCGGGAGTTCCTTGGGCTCCTCTTGTTGAGTTTGCTCTTGTACTGAGATCCAGCCTTGAGACCTGACTGGCCATTCTTCCAGTCAGTCCCTTCCTAACTTGTAGATGCAGATTTGTAACAGGTGCAAACTATCTCAGAAGTTACTTACTGTAACAGGGTAGCAGGTGTCTTTGTATCACCAGGTTTCAAAGTAGAGTTAGTTACACTTGCAGCTGAATGAGGGGGTGTGGTTTTCTGCAGATTAGCTTCAAGTACTATTCTGTGACTGTATCTCTCCTGCATAGTATACACAAAAGCTGTGTGGGAAGGACAGGTTCCAAGAGCATAATGCTGCTGATTACTGTTGACATATACACAGTCAGCCAAAAGGCGTGCAGAAATGTTGACATTTGTTTGGTGTTGTGGGCAGTATCAGGTCTCTGCATCCTGGTCCTCACCAGTATTGACAGGGTTGAGCAAGACTCATTGTGCGTTTGCACAGCCAGTGTCTTCTCACCAACCTGCTGCAGGGCTCCCTCTGCTGGAGCAAGGTCGTGGCTGCACATTGCAAAACTGTTTCCAACTAACACTTTTAAGACTTTGAATTCCAAAGCAAATATAAACTCTCATTGGGCTAAAAAAGCAAAAACAAAAACAACTGTACCCATGTAGATTAACATCAATAAAGACATCCAAGCAAGGGAAGCAGGCAGACGTTTAAACAGCCAGCAAGACCATGTCATTGTTTGAGTGGGGGTGATCACATTTCTGCCTACGTCCTTCACTCCTCTTCATTTCAGATTTTCACATTTTCTAACATAGGGCTGCTTCCTACTGTCAGAATGGACATGGCATAACACCTGCTTCTTTGCCTTGTAAGGGAAGGGCCCTCCCTTTTCTCTCTGGTGACACAGAGCTGTTTGACCTAAGTATGTTTGCTTAGTAACATTGTAACACCCTCTTCAGGAGCCTGTTAACTAATGTTGGACATGAGTGAGGTGGAGTTGATCATGTGGCTTCTAAAGAAAACCCTGCTTTCCCCCTCGTCCACATTTCCTTGTCTTTTACCAACTCGGAATAGGAGCATTGGTGTCTGTGGACACCTCTGACAACAGAGCATTTATGACTAGAATTCAGGTAGCAAATGGTCTTTGTTCTCTCTTTAGCCACTAGGCCACAGTGCTGGGCCCAGCTCTTTTTCCTTAAAAAAAATGTGTTTATTTCATTTGAAAGGCAGAGTGTCAGAGACAGAGACCTTCCGCCTGCTGTTTCTCTCCCCTGCATCTTCCTGTGGTGGGCCAAAGCTATGAGCTCCTCAGAATGCGGCCAGGTGTCATGTGAGAAGTGGGAGCATGCCTTGCATTGTCATCTACCGCCTCCTGGGGTGTGCAGGACCAGGGCTCGCACCCAGGCGCTGTAGGATGACAGGTGGGCATGTCAAGCAGCTATTTGGCCACTAGGTTGAATGGCTGCCCCAGTGTTTGTCGTCTTTATCCGAGAATACAGGAGTTAGTGTTAGCACCACAGGTCAGAATGGCCGGATCTGCAGTGTTTCCACAGATGTGTCCCGTGGCGCTGCTGGGCTGAGCAGCATGACAGTGGTCTCCCGTGAATGGCGACATCTGTTGGCCCTGGCCATCATCTGGTTTTGGCATCTCCCCGCCCTACGCTGGCAGCGTTCCAGGCAGTCAGGCTTCTTGGCAGAATGTGGACCGCGGGCAGGTTGGCTGCCGACAGACAGCCTGGCTCTGGCAAAGCCGAGGAATTGTTGAATGCTTGCACTGGGCGACACTTTGAGGTACAGTCTTCGTGATCACTTAGTGGATAATAAATCATATCTTTATTTTCAGGTGAGGACATTTGGGCAGAAAGCATTGCAGGTAGTCTTGCACTGCTCACACGTGCTTGGGAGGCAGCATTGGCTCTGCAGGTCCGTGTGACTGCAGGGGTCTGTCTGATGGCAGCTGCCAGGAGCTGCTCCCTTCTGCCTGAATGGCACGTCCTTGATCTGGACAGTGAGAGTCATGGAAGCGTGCGTTCATTGGTTCCTGGAAAGATGTTTTCTTTCTGTGGTGAAATAAGTAGCAAGAACTTCCCAGCATGAGAACTGTTCAGTCTCAGTTCAGTAGTGTCGTCAGGTCACTTCATTG